GGCCTCCTGATTTAGGAAATGTGGCTCAACGTGTCATTTGCTGGGGGTAAAGTGGGGTTTGGTTAGGTTGGTGACGAGAGGTGTCTTGGAGATTTTGGGTGTACCTTGGCTTCCCACTCCCGAACTTGAAGCTCCCTGAGTGACCAACATGGTCTCAATTGCAGCCACTCTCCTATCCAACGAGCTTGTTGCGAGAATTAGAGACGAGAACCCGTCATCCATGATCCGGTTCTGTCTCGTGAGTTGCGCAAGGATGCGCTCATTGACGGTCCTCTCATCTCGGTCTTCCAAGTTTTCTCTTCCTCGTGCGGGCTCAGGCTGGCTAGGCTCGCTTTCTTCTTCCTGTTCCTCCTGTTCTCCATTTTCTTGCATTGCACGTCTCATCCTCTTGTTAGAGATTTCCAACTGATCAACTAACACTCGTTGTTCTTCTAAGGATTTCAGGCAAACCTCCTCGAGGGTGATGTACTGTCCTTTTCCGACATAGTAGATGTCGTTGCGGCGGAGGTTTTGGGCATTGAAAACCATTCCGCCTATGGCCTGGTTTCAGTCCGGCTTAGGTCCACCCCTTAGCTTTCTTTCCATGATCCAACTTAGGATCATCCCGTAGGGCAAGCTGAGCCGGTTGCTAGACTTACATAATTCCATGTGTTTCAACATAAGGGCGGGCAAATTGAACTTGACCTTATACTTAAGGAAATAGGCAAAGGTGCATTCCAAGCTCCCTACGTCCTTGCTCTTGTTGTTAGTGGGCAACAAGCTGTCGGACACAATCATAACTAGCAATTTCTGCTCGGCGGTTAGCAACTTCTTGTTTGGCCTTGTGGCCGAAGTGAAACCGCCTTCTCTTCCCAACAAATATCGGAGGTAGTCCGTGTACCCCGTGTCTTGAGTACAGACCCACGCCTTTCGGTCATAGTCTGATACACCCTTGGTGGTCAGTTTTAGGAGTTTAGCCAAACGGCCCTCGGAGATCACTATCTCCTTGCCCTGGACCTTGAAGGTGATCTCCAACTTGTCCCCCCGTTTGGTGGATACCAAATGATAATAGAACTCCTTTACAAACTCAGGATACGTATCTCCTTTAATCGTGAGATAGGTATCCAGGAGGCCTTGGAATCTAAGCATATCAACCAACCCCGAAGAGAATAGGTCGGGTTCGAGTGTTTAACCTCCGATCACCGTGTAGTCGGCGTTGTTCCATTCCCGGACTCGGGTACCGATGGGTTTCTCGGCATTGCTCGGGGTGATTTATGGTTTGGGGGGTTTTTCCGTCGGCTTTTCCGGCGACCTTCCGGCGGAGCTCCGGCGAGCTGGGTGACGGGAGTGGCGCGGCAGGGTGTCGACGACGGGGTGCTGAGGTTGCGCCGGTCGGTGGTGGCGTGCAGTCCGGTTGTAGCTGGGGCGGCGTTGCGTTGGGGCGTTGTGGCGGCAGTGGTGCCTTGTCTCGGTGGCCGGCGTTGCGGCGGGGAGCGGTGGCAGCGGGTTGTGGTTTTTGGGGTGGTGTCGGCGGTGTTTCTGTCAAGGGGGAGAGAGAGAGAGAGAGAGAGAGAGAGAGAGAGAGAGAGAGAGAGAGAGAATGTGGGAGGAAGAAGAAGAAGGGTTTTTGATTTGGTGATTTTGTGGGTTTAGGGATTTGGAGGGGTTTAAGAAAGGTGTGTTCCCTTAATGTTTTAAGAAACACTCATAGCTTAGTTGTTAAAGCTTTTGTCTTGTAAGTGAATAAGGTCCAAGGTTCCATTCCCACTGGTTGCAGTAATACTTTTTGTGCATTCCTTCCTTGCCTTGGGCCTTCTACCATTCCGGTGTTGTAAGCGGCCTGATTGGTCTCCCCCTCGTCGGACTTTTGCTTTCGCCGTGTGTTGGGGTTTGGGATTCGTAGACTATAGAAGCGGGGATCATGGTCATCTTCTCACCCCGAGGGGCGGTAGTTGGTGAATTTAAGCGGATTGAATTATTTTGTGTCTTTTATTCAATGTATGAGAGCTTCTAAACAATAAGTGATTCTACTAAAAGGGGTAATTTACAGGGGTTCACAAATTATCTTAAGCAGAATTCTTCTTCCGGATTTTCCCCTGGTTGATTCGCGAGATCCTCGTCCCTTAGGGCCACATTTTCTGCGTCGATGTTGGCTTCGGTTTCAAGGTCGGCCTGGGTGCGACTAATGAAGAATACCTTTCCGGGAGCCCCGTAATTCCCTCGGTTATTCGCGTTCCCTTGTCGTCCCATGGCCGTAGGGTTTGTGCTCGGGGGTTGAGTGCACTGGAAGGACTTGTGTCCTTCTCCCCCGCAGTTGAAGCACCGTAAGGGGTTCCCCAGGCAGTCCTTACCCCTATGATCCTTGTTGCATCTTCGGCAAAGGAATGGTCTTGTGTTGGTTCGGATTGCGAGGTCCTCTTCCCCTGAGAAGGTAGGCGGGCGGTGGTTCGAGATTTGGCGAGCGACATCTGAGTTCCCGTATGGCGGTGGTGGTGGTCGGTTGTTGTTATGGAGGATAGCGTTACTTAGCGTTTGGGCGACCTGAGTCAGTTGCTGTAGATTCTGGACTAGAGATTCGTGAGCGTAGGGTTCAGGGGTCCTTGACTGACTTCTTGTTGGCGCCATTCTGGTGGTCTACATGGCCAATATTGACCGTAATGGTAAGTTAGTGGGTTGCACCCTTACCTTGATGCTATAAGTATATGGGATTTTTAAACTAAGCACACGATAGAGTGAGGGGAAGTTAGGCAGATAATGATAGATAAACTCAAAGCCTCACCGCGCGTCGTAAGCTTCCTGAGTCCTATGTACCTAAATACCTAGAGTTCAAGCTTAATGTCCTAAAGTCCTGTCTTAAAGGTCTCATCCTCTGGTCGAACTTAGGCTCTGATACCAACTGTAACACCCCAAATTTTCAAAACTTTTAAAACTTGTATGTATAATAAACGTAATTCCATTATAAATTCCCAAACAGAGCATGAACTAAGTGTGATAGTCGGGGTGCTATGCCACACCTAGATTTGAGAACCTAGGTGCACAGGCTAAACTATCCAAACATAAGAAATCCTCAAATAAATATTCAATACAACTCCAAGGCACGCAGGCCGATAATTGAACTATTCTAACTAAGTCCAGGCTCAGACTAGTGCGCTCCGAAGCTACGGTTCATTACCTGAAAAACATTCGGTATAACAACCGTCAGCGGACGATGCTGGTAACCCACTCCAACGCGTTAAGTACAATATAGGTAGATATAAGAAACTCATTTTGAAACTGGAATACATATATACTTACGTAACTCTAATTTAAATCCGAGAACAGACTCAATCAAGCAATAGCAGATACATTCAATACAGTTAAACATAAAGATTCTAGCATGCATCGTATGGTCACAAGACTACACAATACCAACCCTATCAATATCCAGTTATCATCATAGTCAAACAATCAACAACAAGACACGTATTGGTGTACACACATATGGTGGTGCTGCAGGACCATTCACATGACCCGAACCTTGAGTTCCATTGCCAAGGGGTCAGTGCATATAGCCCTGACATGGCCCTGCAGCACTTTAAATTGTACCGCAGCACAAGGAGATTGATCATAACCAATCAATGAACCGCAGCTCATTTGTATCATAAATGTTTGATCGCAACCAAACTATGGACCGCAACCCTATTATCATATATGTCTGATCGCAATCAGATTATGGACCGCAGCCCTATATATATATATATATATATATATATATATATATATATATATATATATATATATATATATATATATATATATATATATATAACAGCCGATTGTTCTCAACCAATCCAATTGCCTGTATAGCCGACCGATCGCAACCGGTCGGGTTAATACCTGGTTGTTCTCAACCAACCAGATAGTCATTATTGACAATTGATCGCAACCAATTGGGTTTATCATGCACAACAACATAGAAGCCAGACAACATGCAACCCACATTAACACATAACGAGGGGGAATCATCGAGGAACACTTGACCCAACATAACTCATACGTAACAAACCACATTAACCCACCCATGACACTCCTACGGGATCATACACCTTCCTCCTAGGCCAACGGGATACCAACTCAACTAGCATGAAATACACAAGACTCTTTTATCATAAGAACGGTACCCGATATATCAAACTAGACTCACACACGACAAACGGGGTACAACGGGACACAACGGGAAACATCAAACGGGAAAAAACACCACGAACCACGCCGGTATTCCAGCGGGTAGGTGGCGGGTGGAGGACCACCCGCCAACCACCCGCCGGTGGCGGGTACTATTCCAGCGGGTGGCCGGCGGGCAGTCCACCGCCCGCGGGCTACCCACTGTAACAGTAGAGGCGGGCAGCGGGTAGGTGGCGGGAGGTCAGTCCCCCACCTATCCCCCCACTGATACACAGGCAACTTTATGGTCCCGGGATCCCTCGTGGAACCCGAAACCATGTCCAAACACATTCAAACACATAATGACAACACCACGTATTCAATTAACGGAATCAAACCAAGAATCACACCAAATACACCCTAACACGATTCCTAAACATGCCAAGACTCAACACAAATCACATAACGATCCAGGGACATCTGGAATCACAAGAACATCAAGAAATCTATATGCAAAGTCCTAAACACAAGTCCTAGGCTTCACTCAACACCCGATCATGCAAAATCCCACCCAAACATACCAAGAATAACATACTACGAAATTCACGTTATAACTCTAGGGCTCTAGACATAATCAAAATACAAGATCGTTCGTGTAATAAATCATAGTATCAAGAACATCAAGATTATTATTATTATTATTATGCCCCTAAGTTTTTGGGGGAAAACTTGGCTAGGAGCAGTGGCGGACCCAGGATTTTTCTTCAATGGGGGCAAAGAAGCAAAGGGAAAATAAATTAAAAAATGTTCAAATACAAAGTTTAAATATACATAAGATAGTTAAAATACAAAATACATTATAAATTACAATACAAGGTTTATGATGAACTACGGGATAATATTCCTCTACGCTCTTTCATATTTTGAAATCGTTGTAGAACTGCTTCATTTGAAACTTGATCAAAAATATCTTTTTCAACATACGACACTAAGCAATCATTTAATAAATCATCGCTCATCCTGTTGCGTAAAGATGTCTTGATTAACTTCATAGCAGAAAATGCTCTTTCCACACTAGCAGTTGCAACCGATAGGATCAAAGATAACTTTAGAAGCAAATACACCAACGTATAGTCCAAATGTCTTTCCGTTTCCACCATTTTTTGAGCTAATTCATCAATACCATCCAATGTAGAGAAAGCAGGATCAGAAGTTACATCAATAAAATAAGTTTGCAGTTGGGTATCTAGTACTTGAAGTTCAATACTAGAAAAATCATTTGGATAGAACTGTGTCAATCGAACCAATTTATCTTTATCAAACCTAGCAAATGAATTCTTTGGATCAAAACATGCCACACATAAAAGCAACTCTGTATTCTTCTCATTGAAACGGTTGTTTAGCTCCTGAAGTTGTAGATCTAAAACCACATAAAAGCTTTCAACACGGTACCTATGAAGATGAGTCCTTTCTTCAGTTTTACGGCGAGGTCTTCCTGGAACTACATAAACTTCATCCATATTAGGTATGAGAATTGAATGCTTGTTGCAAAAGAGTGAAACTTCGTGTAAAAGAGCTTCCCACCCATTATCTCTCATCATTTGCAATCTCTTTTTTGAGAGATCAACTAGTCTCATGGCATTCACAATGTTCTGATCTTTCTTTTGTAGTGCATGTGACAAATCATTGGTAATTCCTAAGACATCCCTCATTAAGTGCAACCAAAACACAAAATCAAAACATAACATATTCTTCAATACTCTAAATGCATCTTGTTTTGGATCCTACCTTATTTGTTCAAGAACATCAATCACCGGAGAAAATAATGTGACAATGCTCAAAAGTGCACCATAATGAGATCCCCAACGTGTATCACCATGACGTTTTAAAACTCTTTCTTGATTCAAACCAGTTCCCATTTGAATTGTATCATCAGAAATTGAATCAATTAACACCTTTAATTGTTTGTCTCGTAAGCTATCCATGCGCTTACATGAAGCACAAACAATATTGCACAATTGCGAGACAGTGAAAAAAAAAATCTCAAACTTCTTCATTTTCCTTTTCAACACCCACAAGTGCTAGTTGTGATTGATGAGCGAAACAATGAACATAAAAAGCACTTGGATTCTCATTCATAATCAAAGTTTTAAGACCATTGAACACACCTCGATATTACTTGCTCCATCATAGCCCTGACCTCTTATTCTTGAAATGCTTAATCCATGCCTTGTTAGAAGATCTTCAATGGCTACTTTAATGGCCCGTTTGGTTCATGGAATAGGCCGGGAATGGCATAGTATTCCCAGTAATAGGCCTATTCTTTTGTTTGGTAACCATTTCTATTACCAGGAATAATATTCCTGGTAATAGCCTATTACCTCAAATAAGGTAATAGCTATTACTAGGTCCCCCCTGGTATTAGCCTATTACTGAACGCTCAGAAATAGATTTTAGAATCTATTTCTTTTTTTACCCCTTTCTTTAACCTAATTTTTTTTATCATATATATAAATTTATCCTATTTCACCACCGTCGTCGCCACCACCACCATCACCGTCGTCGCCGCCACCACCACCACCACCATCGCCTCCGCCGCCTCCGCCGCCACCACCACTACCATCGCCGCCCCCACCACCGCCGCCCCTACCACTGCCACCGCCACCACCACCACTACCACCCCAGCACCACCACCGCCACTACCACCATCACCACCACCGCCACCACCATCGCCGTCGCCGCCGCCACCGCCACCACCGCCACCAGAACCACCACCCAACAACACCACCGCCAGCGCCGCCACCACAACCGTCGCCACCCCCACCACCACTGCCAAACCGTCACCACCACCACCGTCGGCCCCACCACTGCCACCGCCACCACCACCACCGTCGCCCCCACCACTGCCACCACCACCACTACCACCCCAGCACCACCACCATCACCACCACCGCCACCACCATCGCCACCACCACCACAACCGCCGCCGCCACCACCGCCACCAGAACCACCACCCAACAGCACCACCGCCACTGCCACCAACACAACCGTCGTCGCCCCCACCACCACTGGCACAACCGTCATCACCACCACCGTCGCTCCCACCACTGCCACCGCCACCACCACCACTACTACCCCAGCACCACCACTACCACCGCCACCACCACCATCACCACCACCGCCACTACCACCACAACCACCGCCACCACCACCACCACCACTACCAGTATCGCCACGATCACATATTTTTATAAGGGTATTTATGTCTTTTAAAACATATTTCATTTCTATTCCTTAAATCAACCAAACACTGTAATATAATTCCTAAAGTCTATTCCTTCCGCGAACCAAACAATAGAATACAATTCCTATTCTATTCCTTGCCTATTCCATTCCTTTATGGAATAATATTTCTATTACCTCAAAATTCATTCCGTGAACCAAACGTGCTGTAAGAGACATAGAAGTAGTGTCACAAACATGAACAATGCCAAGAAGACGCTCAACAATATGCCCACTTGAATCCACATACCGAATAAACACAATTATCTGCTCTTTAACTGATATATCTCTCGACTCATCAACCATTATTCCAAATAATTCTTCACCAAGATCTTTGATTATTACTTGGGTTACCTCACTTGCAATTGCATTAGCTATATCTGTTTGAATTTTAGGGGCAATCAGTTAGTGATTTTCAGGTGCATTTTGCAACACTACTTTGGCAATATTTTCATCATTTTTAGCAAGTAACTTTAAGGCCTCAAGGAAGTTCCCTCGATTAAGTGAGTCGTCGCTTTCATCATGTCCACGAAAAGGAAGTCCTTTCCTTAAAAGAAACCGCATACATTCAACTGATGAATTCAATCGAATACGATAGTCTTGTTTCGATTGCTCCGAGTGTTTTGATACACAAACTTGTATGTGTTGCTCTTGAGTCATTAAGTCTCGACAAGCTTGTACATTCCTTGCGTGAACACTATTATGATTACCAACATGTGCACGCAACCTTTCCGGTCCTTTTTTCCAATTGTTGAAACCTTCTGTAACAAATGACTGCTTGTTGTCCGCTGCTTTCATCTTTGAATAGATAACAACTTAAACAATATGTTGCATCTTCTGATACACTATACTCCAACCAATTACTATGATCCTTAAACCATTTAGGATTAAATCTCCTATTAACACCCGTAATCACTCTAGTAGGAAAAACATGATTTTTTGGTTGACAAGGACCAATTTGTACGTAGATATCTTCGTCGCACAATATCTCTATTATTGATATGATACTCATAAATACTTTTCCTTTTGTCGGATCAACTTCAAGTTCATCTATGTTAAATTCAATACGAGGCCTTGCACTTGACACTTCGGGACTACCCTGACTAGATGAATCCTCAAAAATTGATTTTCTTTTAAAGAATTTTTCCATAACTGAACCAAATTTCCAACAAACGAATAACATATTAACATATAATTCATTATTCATTACAAATTGACAACCAAGTGAACCAACATAATTTACACAGTAGAAATATTCAGATAGGCAATCATAAGCAGTTTATATGAGCTTTAATAATGCAGCTTGAACATTGCAAATTGCAAATTGCAGTGCAGTGCCAACTGCCAACACAGTAGCAATATCTAGAATGTGTAGCTTGAACATAGGCAACACAGTAGCAATATCTAGATAATTAAACACATTCTAGTTTACATAATCACAAATTCACAATGAGCTTTAATAATGCAGCTTTAATATTGAGATAGCTAAATCAAAAATTATCAAATTATGCCAAAATTAAATCAAATTAGGATTTAGGGTAAGAGGGGAAACAAAAATCAAATTCGGATTTAGGGTAACTGGGTAAGAATTGAACATGAACATAAATTAAACCAGCAAATTAAACCAACAAAATTGAAGTAGTTTGAACATTTGAACCATACCTGGCAGAGTGGCAGTTCCGACTTGTAATTTTGCGAGAAAGGCAGAATGTGTAAACCGCACACGGAAGAGAAGAGAAGAACGGACGAACGGTGAGAGGTTGAGTCGCTGAGAGCATACCGCACACGGAAGAGAAGAGAAGAATAGGCGAACGGTGGTGGGCGGTGGGCGGTGGCGTCTCAGATTTTTCGTCTGTCGAGCTTCGACTCTTTCTTCTCGCAACCTCGCAGGCCAAGCAAACAAATGAAACTTAAAAAAATAAAATTATATATATATATAAATATATAAATAAATAAATAAATATATATATATATATATATATATATATATATATATATATATATATATATATATATATATATATATATATATATAATTTGGGTCATTCATCTCGCTTAGATCAACGTCCAGGATTATCAAAATTTAAAAAAAAAAAACGCGATGGCAATTTTGTAATTTTTGAATCTAGGTCAAAATTAATGTGAGCGGTTCTGTGATTAATGTGCGTGAGTTTTGTATATAAGATGCGTGAGTCTTGTGCATAAGGTGTGTGAGTTTTGTGCTTAATGTGCGTGGGGTTGTGTTTAATGTGAGTAGTTGGTAAAACTTAAAGTGTGGGCTTTTGTGTTTAAGGTGCGTGAGATTTGTTCTTAATGTGAGTGGATGTTGTGCTTAATTTGCGTAAGGTTTGTGCTTAATGTGTGTGAGGTTAGTGATTAATGTCAGTAATTGTTGAAACTTAAAGTCTGTGAGTTAATAATTAAAGTGCGTGGGTTTTGTGCTTAATGTGCGTGAGATTGTGCTTATGTGTGTGGGTTTTGTACTTAATGTGCGTAAGTTTGTGCTTAATGTCAGTAGTTGTTGAAACTTAATATCTGTGATTTAATACTTAAATGCGTGGGTTTTGTGCTTAATGTGCGTGAGATTTGCTTAATGTGCGTGGGTTTTGTATTTAATGTGCGTGGATTTGTGCTTAAGATCTAACACTTAAATGTGTGTGGCTTTCTTCTGAACACGCGTTTTTTTTTATTTATTTTAATTTTCATTGATTTGAGCCGTTGATCTAGATTTGATCAACGACTCAAATCTAACCGCACATGCACTTGACACTTCGGGACTACCTTGACTAGATTAATTCTATATTTAAGTAGACAACATGGAAAAACGATGCATACTTTTTTTACATTGTTCCTAAATTTTACCAATGTAACTAACTGAGTTGTTCATGCAGCCTGCATATTTTTTTTACCGTCATCAATTCAAGTTTGCATAGTTCTCTTTGAGATTTTTGAAATCCATTTATTTTTTTTGGATAAAAAAATCCATTTAAAATGATAATTGTTGGACTATTCTAATATATATTTACTTCTGAAGATTTACTTTGTAGCAAATGACCGGATAATTATGTCAGCTAAATACTTTTGGCTTATTTTAATTTGAATTGAAGTGGTGATTGGGTTGCAATTAATGATGTATACATTATTGGGAGGGTTGGTAAAATTATATTACATTATTATAATTTTATAGTGAGATACCTATAAATTAAAATATCTCCCTATTTTATCACTACTGGAAATTATGAAATTTCCGATCACCTGAAGTGATCTTAAATCAAGTCGAAAGCCTTGTTCCGACCACTTTTGGTATCCGAAAAAATCTTTGTTGCTATTTCCGACCACTTTTTAGTATCAACTTGATTTAAAATCACTTTCAGGTAGTCAAAAGTTTCATAATTTCCACTAATGTATAGATATTTGCAATGGATTGTAT